AAAAACAAAAATAATACAATGTAAAAAATTAATTATATATATTGTACATGTCGTAGGCATATAGTTAAATCAGGCATATAGTCAAATCAAATAAAATTAAATGCCTAATTCATTTATTTTCTTCAACTTACGATCTGTTCTAGACGAATTGATTGAACTGGGTGATATTATAAATTAAAAACTTATTTTTTTTATTCAGTTATCTTCTTTGGGAAATCCATCGGTACTTAAAATTGATGAGGTTACAAATTCCAAAAATTTGGTTACAAATAGTTACAAATTTATTTTTATAAGTTACACTTGTTTTGGACGATTCGGTTAAATTGGGGGGGGGGGCAGCCCCTCATTGAGAAATTTACAATTACTCGAAAGGGCCGAGGTTACAAATTCTAAAAACTTGGTTACAAATAGTTACAAATTAAGAAAATAAGGTTACAATTATTTTGGAAAGTTTTTTTTTATAGTGGGGGGGCTAACTTTACGCACGTGTGATACACTGTACACGAAGTTCCGTCAGTGTCGCCGCCACCGAACCCGAGTACGCCATGCCACCTGACAATATGTGATATCTTATTCATCAGTGTCACCACCACTAAACCCGAGTCGTGCAATTGTAAAGACTACCATAAGCCTTATATTAATCGGTACAATCATCAGTGCGATTATCAATTGGTGCCCAACTCAATAAAAGAGTGATGCACGCGAAGAGTGTGCATTACAACTTAACGAACTCGCTAATTTTTAACATGTTTCGATAAATGTTGAAAACTTAACTAAAAAAATATGATATGACCTGGAACGAAAGAGATACGCAAAATAGTATGGAGTTTAACTGTATAAAAGCATCCATCATACTTATCGGTACGGGAACAAACCGGTATAGTCCCTCGGTTGACCGTGACACGTACATACAATCCGACTACATAATTGGATGTTTCATTAAATATTCACTTATAAAATACATAGGTATATTATTAAGTGCCGAGTTACCCTACTCGTTCAATTTTTCCAAACTTTTTTCACATTTTTAGCTACACAGGTCAATCGTCTTTTAAGTCTAATGTATCCAGAAATTTCTTACACACTATATTATATGCTATACATAAAAATATATATATATATATATATATATTTGTATATCAGGAACATACCCGTACATAACAAGTTTTATAGATTATAAAGGTTCCCACGATTAAAAATGTAGAAGTAGTAGTGGAGGTATACGTGATGTTAAGTCAGCCAGCGTAATCGCTTTTTGAAAAATGCACTAAAAATCTAATTCCCGAAGCGTTTCCGAACCGGAAGTTGCTAGCTCCATCCTCTTTCGTGCCTCCTTCGACTTGCGGCGCTTGAACTCCGCCCGACGCTCTGCATCCCTTTGACGTTTCCGGATGGCCTTGTTGGACAATGCTGGCCTCCCTGGATCCTCGCTGTTGGCCAATGCCGGTGTCGGTGCTGGCCAAGGTTCCAGTGACCCCGGTTTCGTTTTCGGCAGAGCGAGCGATGACGGTAAGCGGCCTTGGTACGCCACCCTTGACGGCATACCCGTCCACTCCGTCGTCGATGGATGTGAATCAGCCGTTAGCCGACTCGGATGTAATGGTTGTCCTGAGACCGGTTTCACCCAACGGATTGGTGGTTCCGGAGTGGAAGGTTTTGGCGTCGGAGTGGAAGTTGTCCGTGGCTGAGGGGCAGGTGTTGTGGCCACCGGTTTCGTTTCCGGAAGAGTCGTCGGTGCCACATTCAAGACCCGACGTACCTCCGCCGCCTGGTCCGCCCTTCCACGATTGTACGCCGCCCACAGCGCCGGATCGGCTCTAAGGGTCGCCATCGTTGCCTTTTTGACCTCTTCCGCCGTCATTCTCTGGCCGTTGGTCATGATATTGGTGCTGAAATGAATTGTCTATTATCGGATTCTGTTAATAGGTTTTGCACGTTTCGGACAAGAAAAGTGGATTTCCCAGGTCAGTAGCTGGTCGGTTAGGAATACTCCTTTTCCGATTCTCTTTTCCAGCCTGACCGGCCCCCACCATTTAGATGCGAATCCCACGTGAAACCCTTGGTGCGCTTAGTACAGATAGTGGGCTTTGTACGAGTAGTATACAAGTCCCCCTTCCATGAATTTACTTTTTGTAGTGGTCGTTCCTAGCGAGTATGCTTCGGTCCACCGACTGAAACAATCGGTAGCGAACAGGATATACGATTTCCCCTTGCTCGTACGAGGGTAGGGGCCCATGAGGTCGATACTGACTACCTCCCGGGGTTGTCTGAGTTTGTGGGTGGACATGGGATCATCTGGTCGTGAGTTTAGTGGTTTAGTGCATAAACATATGACATGACTTAACATACAATCTCACGTCACTTTTTAACCTTTCTAGTAAAAACGTTCCTTGACTTCCCTGTACGTCTCTTTCCACCCCGAGGAACTTGCAATGATGTGGTCCTGATACCGCCAAATAACATGTTGTGATCAGGATCGAGGTATGCCGACCGATGTGTGTCCTTATGCGTTCCTGCGCAGAAAACCATACGATAGGACATAACTGTCCATATGATCGGAGTCACCTCTGGTATACGTACGGAGATATCTGATTTTAATAATTCTATGATGTCTCACGTATGAAGGTCGTCGGATTGCCAAAATGCGAGAGTGTGGTGATGGAGGACACCCCGTCACTATGAAGGACATCCGTTTTGGATGTTGCAAATGCCGTTTATGAATACCCTCCGAGTCGACCAAATGTCCTAGAAAAGAGATTTCGGTGGATTTGATCCTATATTTCTTGGTATGGCAAGTTAATCCAAACTGCAAAAGTCGTTCGAAAACTTTGTACAGGTGGTATTGGTGTTCGTCCAAGTTTTCGGAAAAGATAACAATATCGTCCAGGTAAACTTGAACGAACTCATCCAAATACCTACGTAGAACTTCATTCACTAACTGTACAAATGTCATGGGACTATTTTTAAGACCGAAGGGTAGCACTCTGAATTGATATAGCCCTCTACAAATCCGGAATGCTGAGTATTTCCTAGTGTACGGGTGAAGAGATGCTTGCCAGTATCCAGACTTAAGGTCCAGTACGCTTAACATTTTTACCCCCTCATTTGCCGAATCAACTTGTTTAAATTTGACATTGGGTACGCGTCAGACTCAGTTACGTTGTTCAGTCGACTGTAGTCAATGCAAAGGCTGGGAAATCCATTCTTATTCTTAGACAAGACGACCAGAGCTGACCATGGGGAAATACTTGGTTCTACTAGGTTCTGTGATTCAATGTCCCTAATCATGATAAACGATGATGGTTTTTTCGGCGGACGGGTAGAAGTACGATGAGGGTATTTTTTTTTTAAACGATATCATGTTAAACGAGATCGCTGTTACGAAGCCTAATCTAAATTCGAGTTCCACTACTGGGGTGGGAATTTGATTGGGGTATGCTCGATTAGCGTTCGAAGACGTGAGCGTCTCATTTTAGGAAGACAACTGTTTCTCAACCGCGGAGTCAGGACTTTTTATGGCGGAGTAAACCGCCATTACAAGTGCATCCGTACCGGTTGCTTTTATGCTCAGAGACCGTTCCACTGGGGCAGGTGAATGTTCCGATAGGGTGGGCGTAATATGACTTGCCGCTTCCCCATTGATGTGGTCAACTATTCCAGTCCCTATTACCTTTGTCCCTACGCCTACGGCTTCCCCAGAAACCGGCTAACTACCACTTATGCAGTGGTAGGAATGAGAGGGGTAGTGGTGTAGGTTTGGGAGTTGAGGGACAACCCCGACTTATTGTTGTCGAGCGTACGCCGGAACGTCGAAATTCGATGTGGAGGTGTATACGGAAGATATATTTGAGGACATTCATTTGGAAATCATTGGACCTCCGAGACCCGACTTTCCTGTCGGACGTCCGTTAACAATATCTCCGTCTGTAATGCCAATTATATGATGATGATACTATCCGTAAATTCAGACGAGATTTTTTTGAAATATTAGTGGAGGTGGATGGTCGGATTAATTACCCCTGTTTCCTCTGTCGTTTCCCAAAAACATCGGTTGGTGAGTGCACGTGTTGTTCCAGTGCTCCACCTCCATAAAATCCTACATGGTCCCGGTGGTTTCCTTCTATCCGGTCTACGGTGATACGCGGCTTTATGCGCGGAGGCATGCGGTAAACATTTACGGATCCAGAACTCCGGCTATGTGACGCAAATCTCCAAGTCTTTGGTCGCTGTAATCGCACATGTGTCCGAAATTCGTGGCGCATTAATCCGGCGATTATTCCTACCGTCTATGATTCCAATAGTCCGGTTAACACGCGGCGCGCAAGTTGATTTAGGACCAACACGAATTCGATGAACGGTTGGGCGGCGTGTTTCCGCGCGTATTTGGGCCTGAATTTCGGCGTTGTCGAAATTTTACGAAAATTCCGTCCGAAATTCCTACCAAGATAGGTCCAGGATCTTGATGGATGTCCACCAATCTCCGGCTATCCCTTTCAGTTACTGTTCGACCGTTCTTGTCTAACTAGCCGAATAAATATTATTAGCCTGCCCTAGTATGGATTCCGTGTTCTCAATAAACCATACCGAGTCCTCTGTTTTCGTTTTAGAGAATTCGAGAAGAGACGTGCGTGCTGCGCGAAGATCCTCATACGAGATTAAAACAGAACATTCGGAGCTGTAGGGTAAACTCAAAAATGTATGGCGGAGCTTACTCGGTGGGAGTACGTCCGCGAAGTGTACGGACCGTTCTGCGGGTTCGCGTGTCACGAGTAACGTCGTACCATGTGCTGGTAGGCCGTTGTGTCCAGTGAACGTTTCCGACTTCACGGTTGTCGTCCCTATGGGAGTTTATGTCGGGCAACCGTTCCGTACTATTAAGTCGGGGGCTGGGTGGATAAAACATCGCCTGTCCACCTCACTGACCCCAGTGCGGGTCTGCCGTAATACGTGTGTCGGTGGGTGTGTCCGATGGCGGTGACGGTTCGGTTTGCGGGCGTATACCGAGCTCAATTCGCCTGATGCTCTCCGTAATCCGACGGTGGTCGTCGAAGTAACGGGCCAGGCACGTTTCGAGGGTCGTCAACCGCGATTCGATATGTCTCGACTCCGAACCATTGTTCACGGCTAGCCTAATCGATTTCCGTTGCTCTTGCGCGGCCTGTATGATCTCGGACGCGTGTGAGCCGGAGCTAAGGACAAGTTGGTTCAGCTGTGTGTTGGCCGGTTCACTGCTTCGCGGTAATTCGCTAACAGCGGTCTCCAGGCCACACTGGTCATCGTCCGTATTCGCCTCGGTTCGGGGCTCACGTAATATGAGCTATTCTGTGGCGCGAGTTTCTTTACGGCGGTACGGACACAGAATATATTTAATCAGAATGGGCACTGTCAGATTTGGCTGATAACGAGCTTACCTGACCCCAGTGTTGCCAAGTAATAAAAAAAAGTGTATTTCCCTTTTTACATTACATGCGGTCATACTGTTCAACAAAATTCGAATGGTTTATTTGTAAACACACAATTAATAACATATTGGTCAATATTTGACTAAATGCTAAACATAAAATAGGTATTATCAGATAAAACAACAGGTGTAATTTTCTAATACATTATGCTAATAAGTAGGGCCCGGAAGTTTATGCATTTGCATGTTTTTACTGAATGGACTAAAAAATTGCAATATCAACTACAAATTTGAATTATACTCATATAAATCTAAATTCAAAATTATATTTTCGATATAATTGCATATTTTGGGTTTTTTTTTATTTATTCGCATATTTTACAATTTTCTTGTTATAAACTGCATATTCGAGTCAAATATTATGTAATTAACAAAATAAATTACTTCTAAATGTCCTATTAATAAATTTCTGATATTTTCCATTACGATAACGATTATTTTGTTCACACGTTCTCGATGTCGGTTGCACGGAGGCCAAATAACAGCTATTATGTTTATTTTTAAAATAGTTCTGATATTTTCCATTACGATAACAATTCTTTCTTCTTCTTGTAAAATTAAGAAAGTAGTCAGTTCTGGATTTCTGGTTTATATTTGTTTGACGTGTTCTGTGAGGTAATATCGAGTGTCCATATATTTTGATTAATATTTTAGCTTAGCTTACGAATTGTGTTAAAATGCCGAAAGTAAAAACATCAGTTACTTCTAGAGGTAAAAACTACAATACTGAATTCGGTGAAAATATTTTCGCGTTCGACGGGAGGGTATTATTTGTATATTATTATTAAGTGCAAAAAACGTTTCAGTGTCACTCAGCACTTAAGTACTGAACAACATATAAGAGCCTTTCATTGTCAAAATAAAAGTATAACTCAATAGCTAATTACTACTACACCAACATGAAAATCTGGTTTTTCTAAGGATTGATGAGAAGCATTCTTAAAATCAAATATTCCTTAAGAAAAATTAGGAAATCCCCATCTTAGTTCATTCATTGAAAAATACATAAATAAAGATATACCATCTGCATCTACACTGAGAAAAACATATGTTAATGATTGATACGAAAATACAATGAATGAGATAAGAAATCAAATACTCAATAAAAAAATCTGGGTGTCTATAGATGAGACGACAGATATAGAAGGACGATATACTACCAATGTGATAATTGGAATCTTACTAACTGACGGACTAGGTAAAATTTTACTTGCATCGGAAGTATTGGAAAAAGCAAACACACGACAAGTAGTAAATTATTTGATAAAGCTCTTTTTTCTTTGTGACCAAATGGAATTAAACATGACAATGTTATTCTATTTGTAACCGATGCAGCATCATACATGGTGAAAGCTGCGAAATCCATTCAAGCATTATATACTAAAATGGTACATATAACCTGCCTCGCTCATTGTTTGCATTATGTATGCGAGAAAATTCGTGAAGAACTTCCAAAAATTGATGAATTTATTTCGAATATGAAAAAGTGTTCTTAAAAGTACCAGGTCGCGTTGAATTGTTCCGAAGAGAAGCCCCAGAAGCCTCCTTCTCCTATCATTACGCGTTTGAGGAACCTGGTTAGAAACCGAAATTTACTATTGTAAGAATTTTAAAACAATTAAAAAAGTCGTTCATTTATTAAATGATGATGATGCGTTAGCCATTAGAAAAGTTAAAAAATGATGTCAGAAACAGATTTAGATTAAAATTTAGTTTTTATTTATACAAGTATACAAATAATGGATTTCTAGCTACGGTTATTACAAGTTTAGAAACTCAGGGAACTTTTTAAACTGACACAATCAAAACTGTGAAAATGTAGAAAATAAATTAACTACAGTAAAATGTTCCAAAGGCATTAAAATTTACAAAAAAATTGAACAAGTTATTGAAAAGAATTTGGGCCTTAAAACACTATCCAAAATCGCAAAAATTATGCTGTGAGAATAAATGACTTATATAATTTACTTGAAGATTATTCTTGTGATGATTTACTATATTTTAAATACGCACCAATTTCTTCGATTGACGTGGAGCGGAGCTTTTCGGTGTACAAAAATATATTGGCAGATAAGAGGCGGTCGTTTAAATTTGAGAATTTATCAAAATCATTGATTGTAAATTGTAATGTAAATTTTTTGTAATCTTTTGTAATACATTTTTAAACATTACTAATGTTTAAAAAATGTATATTGATTAAAAAAAATGTTTTTAATTATCAGTAAAAATAAAAATAAAAATTATTAATAATTAAATAAAAATCACGAGTAGTATCATAATTCATAAATCATAACTAATCATGTTATTTCCTCATATTAATAGATTTTAAAAAAATAAGGGCATATTAAGAGCATATATCAGGATTTTTAAACGCATAAGTACATACATATTTCGGTAGTTTTTAGTGCATAAACTTCCAGGCCCTAGTAATAAGATACTTGTTTAGATTTGGTTTTTTATTTGAAAGATAAAACTATCGTTAATTGTCTAATATAATGGATTAAATATATAATTATTTTTTTAGTATTATACGTTATAGACTGTTTAGCGTACTCTATACTATAGAGTATTATTTGTTGATGTTAGTGGTTTATTTAATCATTTTATTAAATTACTAAATATAAAATATTATTGTTACTATGCAAATACCGTAAAATAACTTGTCCGTGAGTAATACATTTAGAATTCAAATCAACCGCCAAGATAAAGTCATTGTACGGTACAAAGAATTATACACAATATTTATTTTTTCCTCAAATTGGTGGTAACACTGGGTGCGATTTAGCTCAAATGACGGTACTCCCGTAAGAGCCCGTGTAATTTCTTATCAGTGATTTAATCTATTCTGTTGTACGGGTGCGTTATCGTCACTATCGGCGGCACGTGTCGCGGTCCGGAGACTCGTCCGTATCACGGTTCCGAAGTCGTTTCGCGGACCGGCAATTAGTTGACGGTGGCACGGTATGTGTTTATTTCGGTAAAGATACGTTTGATATGCCGCGTTTCACGATGCATTTGGCGACGCTTACGTAATTGTACTTCCTAATATTACTGCGTGTCATGACACCGGTTTTTCGCGCTCGCGTGCTGCAATATCTCCGCTGCTTGTTGGGGATTCGGCGAGTGTTGGCGATACGGATAAACATAGCGTACGGGTTTTTCCCTAACCTCGCTCTGCCTCGTTATACTTTCCTATACGCTCCGTAATGGAAGTGAAGCAAATCGTGGTTTAAAAGCTAACGAAAAAAGTATCTTACCTTGCCTTGTCACGTTTTTGACCGGGAGGAATTCCTCTGCGGGGAGCCAATGTAGTCGTGAGCCGGGGTGAAGTGGCAAAACGTACAGTATAAAAAAAAATGTTATAATGATAATAAAAAAATTAAAGGTATTGTACCGAACACTGCACCTATGGAATAAAATAACTAATAATAATAATATATATATATATATTATTTGTCTAATAATTACTTTTATTCGATAACAGGAAAAATGATGTATGCGTATAAAATATGAAGGTACCCGCGTACGCGGTTGGAAAAAAACAGACCAGAACGGATCGGTTGCCGCGCGGACGTTGTCACGAGCGTTCGCGTCCCCTGATCGTTTATGAATGGGGGAGGAGTGTCGCGGCGGCGTTTCGTGCCGCGGTCTGGTGGTCGATGAGAGAGATAAAGGCACGGTCGGCGACAAACATTTCGATAATGGCTGCCGCATAAGACCGCGTCTAAGTAGTAGTTGAGTTATACGTGGTATAAAGTCAGCCGGCGTAATCGATTTTTGAAAAAATTCACTAAAAATCTAATTCCCAAAGTAACTAATATTGTCAAACAATAAACAAAAAACAAGGTGAATAGAATGATGGTAGACGAAAATTATAAAGTTGTAGTTCAAGTATACGTTAAACGAATAATTTTTATTCGTATGAAATATTTTAATTCAAATATGATTTTTTTTTTTTTTTTTACCTTGTCTATATTGTTTTATGTTTACGGATCATTTGTACATAATATGATAAAAATACAATGTAGTTATCAAGATACAACTATTAGCTCATAAATAAGTTGTAATAAATATTTAATTTTAATTTAATAACAATGGAAATTTTAATTGATTAATTTAAATAATAATAAATAAAATAAAAACTTTCAAAAATATTTATCACAGAGTCCAGATACTAGTATTAGTTTTCTATTTTATAGTTATTGCTTGGCTTTTTATATGTATTTAATATGTTTCTAACATAGTCAGACACATATCCAGAATATTTCTATTAGGAGTGCCAACAATTTTGGGCTCTTATATCATTTTTCATAATTTGTTTTCTATGAAAAACTTATCGAGCCTATAAATGGCACTATTTAACACTAGTTATATTTTATTATTATTTTAGCATGTTTTTTGATACTTGTAAAAAAAATTTGTACATGAATTTGGGAGAGTCCAACCCATCCAGGCTCCTTCCTGCTAACGTGCCTGTATATAATTATATATATATATATGTGTGTGTGTGTGTGTATTTGAGATACTACTCTAACTCCTAAGTATAAATATCCACAATCCTGAATAAATATATACGTTTAGGTATGTAAGATTTAAATATTTAAAATACTTCAATTTAGTATTTACACGTTCATAAAATAATCAAATACTTTTCTTAAAGTTATATAGATGCATTTTCCCTTTATTCAATGCATTTTGCAGGTACCTATTTATCTTGAAAAATTTGTTTAGAAGAAAATATTTTTTTGATCTCGATTTAAAATAATTATTTAATGTACATGTAAAATAAATTCACTGTGTAGAATATAGGTGAAAATAATAAATGTAGAATAAATTAATACCCCAAGTACCTAATAAAATATAAAATGGAAGAATTAATGTAAAAAGTTTTCAGATTTGGACTACATATATACTGTATAGTGATGTACAATTTTAGATATAAATTTTTTTGGTACTTCTAATGGGAAATTTCCAGAAATATCTATAATATATATAATATAAAATAACGATTTTTTTTAAAAAAGTACAATTTGTGTTTGGAACTCTTAGAATGAGATGGTCAGCATTAAAATATAAAATACTTAGGAACATTTAGCAGTCACCTTACTTTATGGTAACAGTATTTTGTAGCTGTACGCCTGAAAATAATTATGAATTTGTACGCCGAATAACGTTATGAATGGGATAGGGGCTGCGAGGATTCCGTATTGTTAACATGACTGAGGCAACTTTATTATCATCTATAGACCCTGCATACATAATACATTGCAATTGATTTCTCTTGGGCTTTATACTCATGACAGGTTAAGTGATCAAAGCGATAACCCGTTATCAAGAACCCTAGCGATTGTGCGATGTTATAACTTTTGTTGTAGTATCGAGTAAGCCGAACTCTATTGACTGATTCGCTGTAATCGGTATTATTGCGACTATTGGATCACGTGAATTTAAAAATAAAACTATTTTATCGTCATTAATTTTACTGCAATAATTAATAATTATTACTAAAACTCAGATTTAAATATCCTGAATAAACCCTGAAAATATCAACAAAAAAGGCCTTTCAAAATATGCATTTAAGATATAAAAACCCTAAAAATTACCAAAAAAATTATAAAAGGACATTTTTAAAAATAAATTTTATATTAAATGTATTATCGTTATTTATGTATCAATTTAAAATATTGTATGTACGTTTATAATTTATAATTTAATAAAAAAAAAAAAAATTAAAATTAAAAATTAAATTTCACAAATTACATTTATATTACCTACTGTAACACTGTAAAAAAAAAGCTTTTTTAATATTTTGAAATTTAAATGATCTACGGTTGTCTGCCAACAAATTTTTATATTCTAAAATGTGCAATGTATATTTGAATAAAATCAATTTGTTTAATCATAATACGAAAAATAGGTCAAAAATGCTATAAAAAATTAAAAACTACCCTAAATAGTCCGCTAAAAATGCAAAAAAGCCCCAAACATTTTCGCAATTTAACACATTTATAGTTTGAAAAATATCGTGTTAAGACATTCCAAAAAAATACAAACGCATTGAAATCCGAAACTTAAATATTACAATGGCGACAGTTATACACTTTAACTGCCTAAGGTACCTTTGTAAATATATATATATATATATGATATATAACACGTAATTTTATGCAAAGCATAAAACATATGTAAGACTTCAGTTTTTTTTGGTTATTTTTATACTTTGAATTGATTATACCCACCTACATGTTTTTGTGATCGAGTCATTAAACAAGAAAAACACATTTATTTTTATCATATATAAAACGCACATCTATAATTTGTTACAATTTAACTGAATATTTTATTATTAATATACACAATTTATTTAAATCAAATGTATTTAAACTAATAGCTATGAGGTCTAAAAGGGTTATCTGGGTCGAATAATTTAGGGTCATGGCTGAATTCTGGTTTTCTAAAATAAAACGGCATCAAACCTAAAAAAGAGAAAAAAAATGTTATGTAATTAAGTACTCACCAAAGATTAACAATTTTGTACATTACTTGATGATTAAATCTCTCAAGTAAACGTATAATTTAAGATTAAATCATATAATACTAATACAATAATACAATTATCTGCACTAACACTATAGTCTACAATTATTACATTATAATTCCTAAATCGAGAGCTAGTCTAGATACATTAAAGTTATTAAATTATACTCGTTTGAAATGTACACAGACGATAACATATTCAATATTTTATCAAAATAATAAAAAAATGGAATACGCTCAATTATTTACACTGAAACCAATAACATTGGATATAAATGTTCCATAAATTACTAACCTGCTTCCCTGGATTTTTTAATTTCCTTTTCAACGTGCTCTTGTTTATGCCGGCAAAGACCTGTAATGTGTCGACCGTAAATACGACCAGTAAAACGAGATATAAATTGGGATAACATCCTGGTGTTCTTGTAGTCGGGAACAATATTCATTTTGCAAAGTATGCACACGCGTTTTTCCTTTTGGTAAGGGTTAGGTATGTTTACCAAATGCTAGAAAACATAAAAGTATATCGCATAGAATATCAGATCGGCTTAACTAGGAAAAAAATAAATAATAAAACCAAAGAATGCATCTCGAGAATTTACAATATTTACCTCACTTTTTAATCCTAGCACATCTTCCTGTATTGCTTTTTTCTTTTGTTGGTTCAACATTTTGTTCAAATTTGTCCATGGGTTAAATCTTTCCCTTCGAAACCTACCCATGTATCTGATGCTTACGCCAATATTAAAGCCTGAATAAATAAATGTAAAGTAAACTTTAGAAATTTTAACGTGCCAATAATAACCGAAATATAAAATAAGTTTTTTAATTTAAAGACGATTGTTATTTTTCAACTATTTATGGGTTTTTTTTAATTTAATTTTAGCTTTTTGTTTTTTAAAATAATTTAATTGAATTTGTAAAAATGGTTTTGAATATAATTTTTTAAACAAACTTCCTGTAAACTATTTTATTTAGGGCTTTTAACAAATAATTATTTTGTCTTTTTTGTTTATATATATATTATGAAATGATAAATGAAAAATAAATAATAGTATAATAATAATATTAAATGCATTAAAATATAACTTGAAGAAATGTTATCATAATTTAATAAAACTTCCTTTTTATCACACACGTTACAATTTTAATAGAATATATAAAAACCAACAAAGTTAAGACAATGTCTTTATAAACACTAAAACCAAAAAATATTTGATTGATTTTAATAAATATATCTTCAACATAAACATTTAACATTAATGAAAAAGAAAAACAATATAAAGTAATTATATAAATAGGAATACTTCAATCTAAATCTATTTTTTTTAACTTTAATTACATTTTTTTATCACAGTATTTTAAAAATATATTAATTTTTAACTATTACAGTTTATTTGATTTTATAATAATTATAGTTTGTAGAGAATGCTTAACTAATGTTTAAATATTATTTTATGCAAGTCATAGACAAAAAGTATATGTGTATATCTTGTACCATTAATTAAAAATCACTATAAATATATTTGGAGCAAAAGAACTTAATAAAAATAAAAGGAATTATTTTTTAAACAAAATGTTAAAGTAACCCTTTGCAAACAAATAAAATACAATAATAATATAATATATTATATATTAATTATATTATAATTAACAACAAATATCTAATTTTTTCAGAATTCTAAATATTAGTCAAATATATTTGTTGTATTTATTTCATAGAATTTTAGGATTAATAAATAACATAAATAGGTATCTACAATTAATCTCAGACATTTAACTTCAAACTACAATTATTTTAACTCATTTTAATCCTGTTAACATGTAGTTACTATAAGGAAATAGATATTAAACATGGGTTATTATAAATATGTAATTTATATTTTTAACTATTCAATTTTTATAATACAATTTAATTATAAAATATAACAAAATACTTTTTTGATAAAATAAAGAATATAATATCATAAATATTAAGTATTACATGTGTATATATTTCTTATTTTATACTAAGTCATTATCCAAAAGTATTTTGCCAAAAACTCCTGTTCGAAATGCATTCAGAAAATTTCTAGCCATTCCTTGCAAATCTGGTCTGTATATATATGCACCATCATAATTTTTATATTTTATACTAGCCTGACGATAAATTGCAGCTTTTGCCAATGCTATTCTTATATCATCAGTAGGTTCATCACAATTCAAGTATGAAACATATTCAAAATTATTATTTTTATTAAACCAATACAATAAGTAGTCTGCAATAACTTCTTCCCCAACAAGATGATCTGGTAAAGTAGCACATAAAGCAAGTTTTAACCCGGTTTCGATGTTTTTAATAACTGGAGACATTACTCCTGGAGTATCAAGGACATAAACTAACGGATCATGACTAATTTTAATTTGATTTTGTACTGCTCTAGTGATACCGGCCACAGCACCAACAGGAGCAGAACTTTTTTTCCCAAGTATTGTGTTTTTAATAGAATTAATCAATGATGATTTTCCTACATTAGGCACACCGATTACCATAATACGAGAGTCAATATTTTCTGAACGATTAAACCTATTAGATCCTTTAATGAGACTTAGAGCTGCTGGCAGTATTTGTTTCACACCTGGACACAAAGCATCTTTACAATTAGTATAAATAACTTTTGATATATTTTGTTCAGCCTTGATTTTTTCTTCAATCTTTTGCTTAAAACTTAAATCAGCTAAATCCATTTTATTTAATACCAAGATATGTGGTCTTATTCCAGAGATATTGTATCTAAAATCTGGATTACGACCAGAAAGCGGTATCCGAGCATCATGCACTTCAATAATACAATCAATCGATTTCAACTTTTGCTGCATTTGTTTCATGCCTTTGTTCATGTGACCAGGGAACCATCGCAAAAGACTTTTGTCAATGACTTGATAACTCTGTCTGAACTTGGTGGTCATTTTAAAGATAATAAAATAAAACGTAGATTCTTTAGTGTTCTGTTTATACAAAAATGTTGAGAGTATAATATTGAGCTGAAAAACAAATAATTGAAATTAACTTATCACTAGAGCCCAGATTAATATGCATTTGCATGTTTTTACTACGTGTATGCACGTCTATGGAGGTTTAAAATTTCCACAATTCATATCACACTGAATTTAAACACCAAATTTTATATTGCATATTTAATGGGTTTTAATAAATTAAAAATATCTGTATTTTTTTAAGTTTTCTATTCATTTTTTGAGAGTAGGTAACTTCAAATGATATAAAATATTTATTTTTAGTTTTTTTTTTTATTTGTATTCTCGTTTTCAAGTTTCCTAAAAATTTTAGATTGATTTAAATTACTTAAAATATAAAGCAGTGGACATTATCATTTTTTTGCTAATAAAATATTTAAAATTTTATTTGGTACTAAAATGTGGTTTTTTAAGAAAGAAAAACGCATTTTATAAAGTGCAACATAATACATATAATTGCATATTTAGCAACTTTTTCTTTGCATATTTACATCATATTTGACACTTTTTAAATGCATATAAATCCGGACTCTACTTATCACAAATGGTATACCAGTGCACATGAATGCTAATTATTATTTAAAAAAAAAGTATGTACACACTTGCGTTACGATCAATAACTCATAATTACCAGAATAAAAGAAAAATAACCAGTCAGAGAGTTGTCGCTGACACGACGAAAACGGACGAAAAAATGTTTCCTTAAGCGTGTTCTCGTAACCAAAGGCGGAAATCGAGGGGGCACGGAAAAATTTATGCGGTTGAAAAACGAACAACTATACCTTTCAATAGCTTGTATGTGCTGCCGAACATAGTGACAGTGACGGTAACCCGAATCGGTCAACTTGTTAGTTATGGCCCACAAAGAACGGCTGACGACACGGACGATGACTGCGGACCAGCGAACCCGTCGTAAGTACTTGTAATTCTCTCCCGTTGGGAAAACGATTTACTTTTCTTTCGGCATGAGGTACGGCACAATGCTGTTAATTCGTGTGTGCGATATGCGCGGTAGCCTTGATAACGAAGTACTCCGTTATCACCGACGGCGAACCAATCGTTCTTTCCTCCACGGGCCGAACTGCTTTTGTTCCACGGCCGTTGTTGTCCGAATATTATGTTATTGCTGCCGCGCAGGGCGGGGTCGCTGCGCCCACTTGTTGTATCGGTTATCATTCCGTCCGTTTCTCGTTTGTTTACTGCACCACTGGCGCCGCGTCCCGACATTAATTTATTAACAGTAATATGAACGGACGTGAACTTATATTAAAAAGGTTTTTTACTTGAACTCACGCGCGGGTCGAGACCATTGACGGTCGCAGTACTCGTATCCCCAACACTCTTCAGTTATAAATACCTGTCCGCGGTACGTTATGCGCTAAGTTGATGTTCGTGCCGCACGAAACGTACAATATGATGAAGACCCCGAAGAATTCCTTCGCGTCCGCCACGACCGTTTGCCTCGTACTTGCAGCGTACGTCGCGTTCGCATATGGTCAGTGTTACTCGGTATCGTTACCCCTGACAGCGCTTACCGACCATTTAAATGAATTTTCCGTTGTTTTCGTACAGGGTACATATCAGACATGCAAAACGATAAGACCAGTCGTCTCACTTGGTGCACGATCAATGCCCAGGAACAATCAAAATGTTTGAACTTGTCGGCAGCTGTTAACAGAGACAAACAGAAATTCAACCCCAAGTATTTCATGGAACTCGTTTGCAAACAGGCAATTATTATTTATATTTTACGAATGACTTGTTTAATAATTTTCCCCTCTCATGACGTCTAACTTAAGTCTTTCATATATAAAAATTTAAACTAAACAACATAGCATTACATCACTAACATTTGTAGATGAGTCAAAAAGTTGCTAAATAGAATATATTATTCAACTTCATAGAAGTATAATAGAAAAGATACAAATATTCTTTAAATTAGTCTAAAATCACTCGATGAAGTTTTGACATATTGAATACTCAGTTCTACCAAAGAAAAATACTGTTACTTAATAATATTTATATAAGTTTGATCTTTAATAATATTTTATTTTTTTACATCATATAAAAAATGTAAAAATGAATTTACATTTTTATTTACTGATATCAATTACCTACATAAATTATCAAAAATTATAAAGGTAACTTTCGAATCAAAGAATATAACTTCAATAGATAACTTTTATTTATAAGTTAATAACTAGGGAACGGATTTATATGCAAATGCATATATGTATTGGATTAAGTTTTTTGAAATATGATGAGATTTGTTTCAATTTACATCATTCTTATTACAATAACATAAATTTTATACATAAAATGAAGACCGGTAGTTATAGCCAAAAATAAAATGACATATTCGTATATTACATTATCGTATATACATATTATATTAATATAGATAAATTCATATGATAGAGTTGAACACTTGAACTTGACGGAATTATGGAAACCGATCAGTCAGTACGTGCATTCTATCGTAGTTGTTGTGTCTAGTGATTTTTTTTTTTTTTATTCATTTGTAACTTTAAAATACCTAAAGTAAGAACAGTAGTTAGAAGTCGTTTATAGACATACGCAAACAAGCATAAAGATATTTTTAAAACTGATGGTTCAATTTTGTATTAAAATATTTATGAAATTTTTATTTGATTTAAAAAAATAAATATTTTTGATATAATTATAAGTGCATATTTTGTAGTATATTACATCATTTTTGGAATCATATTTTGAGGATCTTTTGTGCATATAAATCCGTTCTATATTAATAACATTCAATGACAAATTAATTTATGATAATTTAAAAACACTTTATAGTAAATTAATTTTAAAATAATTGTATTGACCTTATTATTAAAGTTAGCTCTAAAATCTTATAATATAGCTACAATGTAATTATTAAAATTCAATGTTGCTTAAATATGATGTATCATGAGAATATGATAGTGACATTGAAATTATATTTAGAAATATTAGGTCTTCGTGGTACATATTAATCCAATATTGAATTTAACAGTATGAAAACTTTTAAAAATTGTTATTTCTTGGTTATTCTGTGGTTTTAGTTTTTTATATCTACGATTAAAGTATTTTTTAATAATTATATTACTTACATTTTGTTTTTTTCTAAATTTTTTGTCTCGTTATGTAATAGCTCTCCTAACAAAAATTATATTTATGTGTCTTGTTTCATTTAATAAATATTTGATGTATGAAAGGAAGGATTTATTTTTATTCAAAAGTTATTTGAATTAATTACTAAACCTGACCCAGTAACCTTGGCCCAGCCATACAATTAAGTTCGATCATACTGGTCTATTTATATGCTATAGACTCTTACTAAATACTTATAATTGTTTATCATGTTTTTTATTTGAGAAGGTTAGTTATATGTAATAGGTACCTATATATAATTAATATCTTAAATCTACGCTACATTTGTTTTTATGAAACCTTATTTTCTTTACCTCCCTAATGTTTATATTTTATTCTGAATATTTTTGGATAAATTATTATAAAATGAAAGAAAAACTTATATATAAGTACAAGTATTGTAATCAGATTTTACATTTTAATAAAAAATAGTTTATATTGTAATTTTAAGATTATAACTAATGTTTAATCATAATAAATAATATTATTTTTATTTTAAAATTAATTAACGAAATTAAATATTTTAGGGAGTCAATAAAGATGATTGTATGACAATGTTAGATAATAGTGCGGCTGATATATTAAGTTTAGATGCTGGAGAGGTATTTGTTGGTGGTCGATACAACAGTTTAATACCAATAATGCAGCAACTATTTGAAGGTATACCTATTTTTTATTTCTTATCTTTATTATTCTTAACAATTATTGAATTATAATTTTTCTATTTAAATTTTTCAGATGGTTCAACTGAATATTATGCAGTTGCTTTAATAAAAAAGAATACATTGAATGATGTATATAATCTTGGACATTTGAAGGGTAAAAAGGCTTGTTTTGCTGGTGTAGGCACTCAAGCTGGTTGGAATATACCAATTAATACTGTAAGATTTAAATTTCCTGAGATTATATTATATATCCTAATAATTATGTTTTTTTAATTAGCTTATTTCCAAAGGCTTTATGAACATTTTTGATTGTAATAACCATGTGAAAACGACTATAGAATTTTTTGGTCCCAGTTGTGCTGTAAATTCATTACTTGACAAATACAATCCAATGGGTAATTTAAACTTCTAATTACATTTACTTTTTAATAATTTTACGAGTTCTAATTTAAAAGCTATTTAACATAGCACTAAAATAAAAAAATCTTCCAGTTTAGCAAACAAAGAAAAGTATGAAGTTTTATTATTTATTTTAATAATGTCTATTATAGTTTAATAATCAATAGTTTTTATATAATTGTTTTAATTACTTTTTGCAACATAATTGCTAATTATCATAAAAAAAATAATATTTATATATACAGTGGAAATTGGTTATAATAAAATCTAGTATTACAACATTTTCCTCTTAACAATCAATATATAATTTATCCTCAAAAGCATACTTATCTCTTATTATAAATTTGGGTAAAATAAAATATATCTTTTAACAAATTATAAAATTCAAAGCCTATGATCAATTTTTTTTACAACAAATAACAATTATTATATTTTTTTTTTCAGTTATCTTATAATTTAAATTTATATAATTGAACCGATCAACTAATAGGTTATAAGGTAGTGCTTTGGTTAGCCGTTAAACCATCCCTGATATTGCTAGCTCCCAATTTACCTTGCTGGTTTTTAGTGATTAAGCATTGTCCTTAAATTATATATTTCTAAATGTTTGTTGTCAAAATTATTGTCACTACTGTCAGCCATTAACCATGATAGTTGCTGAAACTTTGATCAATAATTTTAATACAACATATCAACTGTCATTTTATTCTGAAATGTTAATATTTTTTTTTAAATTTATTTTACATACTTAGTAACGATTTTCACTCTAATAATTATAATAAGACTTTAATTATTAATGAAAATAATATACATTAACTTTCATGTTATAGTAATATCTTTATATAGGTACTTGTAGTTTTTAATAATCATAATCTTTTAAACAACATAAAAAATTTATTTTTATGATATCTGCCTTTTCACAAAAAATTAATTTACCATATTTTATTTATCAATAATTTTTTAGGAGATAATTCAGACCGTTTATGTACTATTTGTGCCAGTAAAGTTTCTGGTCAAAAATGTACATCAAGTGATCCATATGCTGGTGATGAAGGAGCATTTAGATGTTTAATTGAAACTGGTGATATTGCATTCCTACGACATACAACTGTGTTAGAAATGCTCAATGATCAATCATTCAGTAAGATATAATCCTCGAATTCATATATTATCCTCTTTAAGCTTTTAATTTTAATTAAATTTTAAAACATTAAAAATAGCATTTAATTAAAAAATACATATGTAATAGATGTAATCCTTTAAATATATTATAAAATTCATTGTACAATTTTAGCTAAAACCAAAGAAAACGATTTAGAATTGTTATGCCTGGATGGTTCAAGGCGACCAATAAGTGAATATAGAAGTTGTAACTGGGGACCAACTCCTACTGATGCTATTATGACAACATCTGCTAAAAGTTCTTCAGCTCGCATTTCATTCCAAAAATGGCTTCAGGTATTTTTACTTAATTCTTTATTCCATTAGTTATTGAATATTATACAAATTAAATATATAGTGCTATGAAGCTAAATCATTTGTGTCCATCAATTAAGATGGGTATGCATTTACTTATTGAACATTACAATTTCTATAACATGTGATAACATTTTATTTTTTTAGAAAATAGTTGAACTGTATGGCAAATCAAAACCATCACAATGGCTGACATCTACTCCCATTTCCAACTGGGAATCTGGTCAATCTGAATTCCTAAGCAATACTCAGAATACTCAGAATATTGATAAAAACTTCTATTTATTTAATTCTTCAGCTTATAGCAATCATCACAATCTTTTACTGCAGGTAATATAAAACTATATTGTGTTTAATTTAATTATAGTTCTATTTCTTTAATATTTTCTGAAATATTATCTTACTATAATAGTATAATGTAAATTCTTATGTAAATCAAAATGATTTTTTATCTTATTGTATAAATATTACCCATATTATATTTAACTAATAATCTTAATAAATAAATATTATAACTAATAATTATTTGGTAGTTTTACACATATTTTAACTTCATACAGTATATTTTGACACTGCACATATCATACATTAGAAATGATTAAAAATTACAGTCATAGACAAGTTATCATTATAGTAATATTACTACAATGATAACTTAGTAGTAAGCAAACATATATAATCAGTATACAAATTAATAAAAGTAGATAAAAAATCCTATTTAACTTAGAAAAATTTAGTAATTTTTTTTTTTTTAATATTATTATTTTTATTTTTGCGGTTAGTAATTGATAAATATTTAAATGTATAGTTATTACCATTGTGTAATTTTTAGTTGTATAAATATGTATTTTTATGAATAAAATATTTTGTTATAGGATTCAACAAGAGGCTTACGATCTTTAGAAGAATCTCAACAAACATATGCAAAATATTTAGGAAGGTCTATGGATATTGTGCTAGGAGTTCGTTACTGTCCTGCTACTCGGATGACACTCTGTGTAACATCTGATCCCGAAATGGAGAAATGTATTAAAATGAAGGTGAATATATTTTATATATTTTTGTTAAAAAATACATTTTTTAGTATTTTCTTTTTAAATAATAAACTTGCTAATTATATGTATTAGATGGCATTAAAAGTTCAACTTCTGGTACCTGAAATGCAATGTTTCCGAGGTTACAGTCAAGTGCATTGTATGCAAGCCATTAGAAATGGGTATGTTAAAATAATATTAATAATATTTCTATAAATATTACATATTTCAAAATTATATTAAGTAAATTGTTAGTAGTTATAATATTTTTTGTTGGTTTTAACAGAAATGCAGATGTTGCAGTTATGGATGCTGGTGACATTTATACTGCTGGACTTGAATATGATGAAATACCATTTATTACTGAAATGTATGATCTACCCGAACCAGAATATTATGTTGTGGCAGTAGCTAAAGAAGAAGATCCTAGTACTGAATTGACGTACTTAAAAGGTTTCAAATCATATTAAATATAATTTAATTTAAATAAATATCTTTACACCATAATTAATTTAGGAAAAATGACTTGCCATCCTGGTATTTATTCTGGTGGTGGGTGGATTATACCAATGGCATTTTTATTGAGCAATGGTTGGATGCGAAGTTATGGTTGTGACTCAATACAAGCTGCATCAGAGTACTTTAGCAAATCTTGTGTTCCGGGTGCTTTGAGTAATGAATATAATCCAGGTTTACCTTATGATAATCTATGTCATTTATGCAGAGGTGCCAGTTACCGTTACTGTAAACGAGATGCTACTGAAGACTTTTATGGTTATACAGGTAAAACTACATGTAATATTAGAGAAAATTAATTAAAACAGTTACTATTGCAACAAATAAAATAATACTTGTTTTTATTGTGTAGGAGCCTTAAGATGTTTGGTTGAGGGTGGTGGAGATGTTGCTTTTGTAAAACATACTACAGTGTATGAAAATGCAGATGGTAAACGTAAACAATGGTGGGCAAGAAATACATTAAGTTATGATTTTCAGCTTTTGTGTCCTGATGGTAAGTTTTGTTTTTCACATTCTAATTCCTTATTACTAGGTCTCAGATGTTTATGCGTTTCATATTGTAGTGATATATTTGAATTTATGCACTAAAAAATTACCAAATATGCATTCAAAATTTGAATTAAAAATCATAAAATATACATTCTAGCAAAAAAAAAAACTACCAAAATATGCAAAAACCAAATGTATTTTAACTTATAGCAAAAAAATTTTAATTCTTTTAAAATTTTTAAGTATTTTACTTTATTTTCGTGTAAAATATATATTTTATTTATTTGCAGTTAATATATTCAGCTTTACACTGTAGTTCAATTTTTTTTTTAGATATTATCTAACCTATAGATGCATTTTTTGCCCAAAAGTGGTTTTTTGTTGCGTAAACATTTTTCTATGTCTATTGATATTATGGAAGCATATTTGAAAAGATAAAAATTGTGAAATAAATTCTATAGTTATTCAAAATATTTCATTAATTTAAATTGTTTATTTGTTTATTTATTTATTTATTTATTTTTAAAAAAAATAAAAAAAAAAAACATGCAATTATATTGTTAAAATCCTAAAGTATGCATTTAAAAAAATATTTACATTTGTGAGAATATGCAAAATAAAAATAGAATTATTTGATTTAGTAGAAAGTGAATCAAATTTGTATCTAGGTTAGAATTAAACTTGATAAATAGAAAAAAATATGTGATTTCATAAACATCTGAGATTCACTTATTATTAAAATAATTATTTTTTCAATATATTTTATCTGATTAGTTTAATTTTAACTTCATTAAAAATTGCACTATATTAAGTTTCAATCAATAATAATGTATACATTTTTTTTAAATATATTAGTACATTTTATAATCATTTATTTTAATTTATTTACTACTATTAAGTAGACCTTGTATATCCTTAACTCTACATTTATTCATGGTTTTAGTAATATCAATAACGACATATTAAAGTTAGTTTGGCAATAAAATTAGTAATAAAATATGAATAAAAATCAGGATGGTTGTGTTTTTAAGAATAATTAATTTTATATAGATTAAATTATTTAACCCGTCGTTAGTCGTATTATGGTCAAAATGACTGCAGTTTTTTTACACCTTTAATAGAACATTTATACTTAAATTATTGATACTCATATAATACGAGTCAATAATATACAATCAATAACATTTTTTAAAGGTGTACTGAGCGTTGTTGTTTGAAATATAAAATATAAATGTTTTATTTAAGACCTAAAAAAAAAGTTAGATCATTTCAGTCATAGTCTGACTAATGCTAGGTTAAACAGGAAATAAATTTGAAAAAAAAATTACAGTATACCTTTTAAATTAATTTCTAAAATACTATTAATATGCTGAAATTCATCAATAATTAAAAAAGGTTTCAATTTTATAATTTAAATATTTTGTTATTAACAATTTGCTGTCCTTTATCATTCCATCACTACTAAACTGAATAATTTATAATTATGTTCTTAATTACAATAATAATGTTATGTTATAAAATAAAACCACCAAATTTATTTTATTAATATTATTTTCCATTGCACATAGGTACTAGAGCATCAATTAATGATTACAAAAGATGTAGCATGGGTAAAGTTAAAGCGAACGCTATTATAACTCGTGGTGGTGAAGCTTACAATCACACCGAAGTAATGGCCTTCACCAATCTGTTTATGGCTGCCCAACAATTGTATGGCAGAAAAACTAATGATGAGTTCACGTAAGAAGCTCATTTTTACTATTTTAATACATTATCTTCAACTAACTACAGTTTAAATAATAATTTTATCCCATTATAGATTCAGTATGTTCACATCACCAGAACCTTACAGTGATTTGATCTTTCAAGATGCCACTCAACAGCTGGCATCTATTGATAGCTCATTAAGACATTACTCTGACTGGCTAGGACAAAATTTCATGCGAGCCCGTCGTCTTGTTGATTGCCGTGCAGCTGGTACTATATCGTTACCAATCAGTATTACAACCATGTTAATATCTGTATTTTGTATTTATTTGTGGTTCTAATTTATTAGTACTCAATCTATAAAAAAGTCACAGGAATATTAGGAAGGAGCATTTAATGTTTTGATTGCTCATAATTTAATCATTGACACAATCTGCACTTGATTACAGGAAAAATAGATCCGTCCATTTTATTATTTTTAATTTTAAGATTTTACTGATTAAATGTAAGACTATACTAAAATAATTTTACCAAGGCTTTGCAACTAAAATAACTGAAACTGTTATTATCCATAAAACATATTCAAAAATAATTGAATTAACTAAAATTCAGAAGAATATATTAATTTACTGTTAATAATATTTTATATGTAGAATTTATTTCTCATATTAACATAAATAATAGGGATTTAAAATATCCAATGATTATTTTTATGTTAATTACAATTATTAAATCTCAGGACATATATAAAAAAAAAAAAAAAATCATTCAGGTACAAAGTCTTAATTTTACATAATTTTTAGTGCCCAATTACTAATGATTATAAATAATTTATTTAGAAATGTAATTTTTTTATTTATATACTTGATATAATATAACAATTATTTTTTATTTTACTATTCATATTTTACCATTAATATCAATTTATGTTAGACTAAGTATTGTTGAATTATCCGTCCATTTTCATTTATTTTTAGACTAGAATATCAAATTTATATTTAATTTTTGTACGCAAAAAAAGCTAATTATTCACAAGTTATTTTAGTATGTACTTTGTTAAATTATATGTGATGATTTAGTATCACTATAAATTAAGGTAATTTTTATTTTGTTATTACTATAATATTTTTTTTTTTAATCTCATATTTTATTTTTATTAAATTTTAATAAAAAAATATATTTTTAATAATTTCAAAATAATTGACCTTTTAAATATGTATATGAAGCTTTTAAAGTAGTGGTCGGGGCAATCTTTTCCGACCCTTGGACCACACTCACAATTAAAAAAAAAGTGTTCACAGACCAGACAATGCGCAAAATTGATATGATATTCAATAACATTTTCTAGTTTTGGAATTTAATGTGGGCTGAAAGCAAGCCGCAGTTTGCTAACCACTGCTCTAAAGTATTATAGTATATAACCAGATCACCAATAATATCGCTATCAGTATTATGAATTATTTAATAAATTGATTTTATAGTTGTAGACATATAATTTATTTTGTTAGAACAATAATTCGTACCAGAATTTAAATGTTTTGTCGTGCAAACTTGCTTTTATTTGAATAATTATTATAAACACATTTTGCTGTAACTAGGGTGTGCAGAGACTGCAAATTATATGAATAGTTGTTACTATATTTAAAATCTGATATTAAAGAGAAACAACTTTTATTTAAATTTAAAGCGAGTTGCCCACCATACGGGTTACCATAAAACACAGCATACTAATCAATATATACATACATCAGTTATTTTGAATTTACAATATAATGCAATATTTTTTTATTATATATATTTATTTTTTAATTTTTACCAAACTGTGTAATGTAAGTTTTATTAATATTTCCAAATCGTGAAAAACTTTTGTTGTATGTGCAGAATCAAAAGTTTGATCATAAATGTACAATGATTTCTAAATAATGCTAGTTCTCAGAAGCACTGAAGTTTCCCCCAAAATTTTCTGGTGGATGGGAATGGTAGGATTATAGATTCATTTTTTTTTGGCAGTACAACCTCAAAATTACTTCAATGTTACCGATTGTTGTAACACTAGTATATTCAAGGCCACGAGCAAAAAAAATTTCAGAAGGGGTCCGATGTATGTTCTTAAATGCGTCATAATGAGCATGTAAAGAATGTAAATTTAATTGTTATATTTATTGCTATGGAGTATAATATTCAATTTAATAGATCAGCTTTATTAATTTGATCATAATTTTAACTTAAAATTTTTTTAATAGAGAGAAAAAAACACTTTATAATAAATGTATGTATTTCAATAAAAAAATTATAATTAATCAAATAACATAATTACAGCCTTCACCTTCTATATATACATTTACATATATTCTTATATTGCGTCATAATGTTCACTTATACATAATGTATATGATAATGAATTTTTATATTTATTATTTTTAACTACCTGAATTACCACAACCTTGCCCGGGAGATGTTTTACCATTTAAGATTAGAACAATTACTACTTCCAAAATGAAAAAAAAAATATTAGGTTGGAAAAAACGCACTGTCCTCTTACATTTTTGTGATATTTATTTTTATCTATACCATATTCACTTGTATCATACAAGTTGTATGTACCTTTATCGGTAATTATTAAAATTAAAAATACTTAATGTCGACCGTTAAAAACGTGATTCTTGAAAAAATCCTTTCTCATTGCTCCTATAGGTACATATAGTAATAAATACATACCCCAAAAATGTAAAATAAAACGTTACGGTAGTGGCTGATCAGTGAGTGAATGTGTATTATTCGAATTACATAAAATAATAAATAACTATGGTCAGATACCTCCTAAAGGTACGTTTTCCCTGCAGCGTCAAACGCATTGTCATTAGGTACGTGACCATTTATCTAATTGCATTTAACGCAGCGTGTCGGCTAATAACGCAATGCGTCCATACGATGTTAAAAACGTCCGAAAAATTGTTTGAAATTTGAAGTTTTTTTTCGTCGAGAGACGTTGGTTCAAGTATTCGTGTAGTCTGTTCCTTTCTAAGTTACTGATGTATATGTATACTTATTATGATTAATCTGTACCAACGAGCATTTTTGTTCACGTACATTTGAATATTATTATTATTATTATTATTATTATAATTAACAATATGACATTCTCTGTGATACCAACGTCAGGACTGTATTTAAGAGATGGTTCGGAGAGGCAATAGCCCCCCGAAAATATTTAAGGACGTGGCAATATTATATAAAATCAAATCGATTATTTCGCGTTCACATTGGAAAATTATTTTTGAATAAATAAAACTTTACAAAAAATAAATTATAAAATCATTTATATTATTTAGTACCTAGCGTACAAAATGCATATCTATTTAAGGTTATTTTATTTGACATGGTATTTTATTGAGATATAGGCATTGGTTTTATCTTGATTTGTATGCGTGTGTGACATTCAGACCGAAAGGTACTAAATTATTTAAGGGTACCACCAGAGCCATCCCGAAGATGAAAATCAAAGAGGAGGGGGTGAATAATATGAAAAATGCTGACTACAATTTTTTACTTGATGTATGTAGTATAATTAACTATATATAGTCTTATTTTTACTTTTTAACATGTATATACGTGTCAGTGTCGAACGTTTTTAAAATTGACAGTTTAATTATATATATAAAAATATATTTTATATTGTATAATAAGTAGTTCTATGAATTTTATTTGTGTTTACACTGTATTACGAAATATGTAATATTTGTTTTCCGTAAGTAAAATTAGGTCCTTCTAGGCTATAATAAAACAAGTCCGACCGCCGACTGGTGTTTTCGTTGGGGGGGGGGGGAGACACCCTCCAAAATCTCCCGTCGGGGCGGCCCTACGTTCTATACATTGCTACAAATTATTTGTGCACAGTATTCGTTATAAGTTACTACACTCGGTACCAAAATTCCTAAAATAATCATTTAAACAACTTGGAAAAAGACTTATATTTACCTATTTCCGATATCTCTTCTCCTGTGCCTCTCCCGAAAGGACAAGAAATTGGTGTCGCGTAATTTTTTCCACTTAACCCCTACAAACGAATAATGAAACGCCTTAAGAAGTTTCGTCAACGGGCAGTTTCTCTAACCACTCTAGTTGTCGATGTAAATGTTTTCAGTAATTTATCTTTACTGTACAGTACAGTAAAATACATACATTATTATATGATATGAATATTTTATATTTAATAAAATAAATACTAACAGATTTATAAAAAAGTTATTTTAGTACATCACATTAAAATCATTTAACATAAAAAAAAAAAAAGTAGTTTTTATATAAAGTAATAATTTTAATCTTTAACAATACAAATTTTTTTCAAAAGAATGAAATGCAATAAAAAGTATAAATTTGAAAAAGCTGAAATTTCTACAAATGGAACAATAATAATTAATAAAATAAATAGAATATCAACTTCAAAAAACAATAAGAAAAAAAAATAAACAAGTAAAAAAAAAAATAACAAAATTTTAACAAAAAATAATCAAAGAACATTCATGGTCAATTTTGTCGCAAATTTGAAGAAATAGTTTTTTTTCACGTCATTGATGATAACCAAATAATTAACAGCAACAAAGTTTTTATAAATGGACTCATCTGAAACATAAAATCACATTTAAGTTATAGCTTTAAAATAATAAAACATGTGCAATAAATTAATTTTATCTAAGATAAAAAAATAAAACTTACGCATAAGTTTATCGATTGGAAAAAAGGAATTGTAAGGATTGGCCTTGCTTTTCAAGAATTTCTGTAATATTAAGATCCTTGATATGTTCTTTTACATTATACAAAACGGACATTAAATCATCTATACTTTTGCCATTAAGTTTTGAACAAAACACAAAAGCATGACCCGTTTCAACAGATTTAATCACTCCGGTCTGAAAGAAAATTAAAATTAAATATAAATTACATTGAAAAAATGGGAAGAGATTATTTAAAAATTTTAGTTCATAAATTATAAATACCTTAAGAACATATTAACAAGCACATAGAAAATACCAACATTAACTTGAGAAAGTAATGGATATCCCATTAACAAAAAAACTGTCAGAAGCTTTAAGTTTCTTCAACGATTCTAAAATTAAACTCAGAGAGTCAAGCTGTTTTCTATTATTGTTTAAACAATCATTGTTATAAATCGATGTTACATCATAAACAATCGACCATGGACCGCTTGTTTTGGAATTTCAAGCCGAAAATATCTGTAACACATAGATACAATAAATTTAAAAAAAAAGAAACATTTAAAAAGCAAATAATACAAAATTTTAAAAACAAAATAATTAATGTTTACGGAATAAACTTAAAATAATAAAAGTATATGTATATAAATAAAAAACCCAAATCAAATTATATAAAAGTGTAAAAAATAACAAAAATCAAAAAAAAATTGAACAAGTTCAAAAGCTTATAAGAAAAAGAAAAAACCACAAATATAATATCATAAAATTTTTATTTGGAGATTTGTATCATTTGTGTAAACGCAGTTAATACCAATTTTTTTCGTTATAATTTAAATGTTATTGATTAACCTTGAGTTTGATATTAATTTAACGCTTTATCGATATTTTCGATTTCAATTTCCAATTTGAAAATACAACATTTTTTGGAAAGATTGGTTTCAATAATATTTTATTTACTAAACTCTAAAATTTGGCAAATTTTGAAGTTAAAAAGGTTTAATAACACTAAACAAATTATCTGTAGTGGACTGTAATGTTTATTTATATATTATTCATAAAAACATATTTAAATTATTTATCACATGCAACATTGTATCGCTGTTGACATGAGACCATAAACGACTGAAGTCATTAATACATAGTACAAACATAATAATTAACAACGTATGAACATACGTTTTCTTAAATATGTAGTATATATTCAAATCACAGAACTTAGATTTATTTCTAACAAAATTAATTATTAACTAAGAAAAATAATTAAATACAATGAATGTTATCTTCAACAAATAATAAATACTTTTAAGTCTCACACCTACAACACAAAAGATTTTGCCTTGATGTTATAACTTTAACAGAACTACTAAACAACCATTCTACAGGTACTGATAAAAAAAAAGATTGTTTTGTACCTTAAAAACATTTTTTTAATAATAGGATATTGGTTTGATAATTCTAGTTTTCTTTTTTATTTTTTTTTATTTAAATAGGTACTTCAATATTTATGAATTCATTGAATTATCCTGTCTTTAAGCTATAAATTACAATCAGATACATCGAGTTTGAGTACAGACTTAGATTCCAATTGTTATGTTTATCTAGATAAGATAAATATATGAAGTTGTTGTCTAGATACATTTAACTATTGCACAATACTGGTTATTGACAACATTCCTTTACTAAACGATATACGTTTGTTCGTACACAGACGAATATAAACGTCAGAATGGAAGTGTTCGGTATTTCTATGTGCAGTATATTTGTATATTTGTATTTCTTACATGGGTTTGGAGATCGACACAATTCAATCTTTTGATGATGCAACGGATTTTGACCTGTACGATTTTGACATTGTCCACCGCCGTGGTAATTGCCGAAGGTTCTCGCGACGGTGATTGGGCGTCGATAATCTTATCCCGTGATGGTGATTCATTTGACTTCTTTGTTTTGGGACTGAAACCTATAGAATTTTTGGGTTCCAGTTTCGGTTTTGGTTGTTCAATTAATTTTTTAAGGTTTCCGATTTAGGTTTTGGTTTTTAGAAAATAAGGGTTCTAGAACCGGTCAATTTCGGTTAATTCTGATTATTAGAGATTTATTAAAAAATAATATGAAATTATTTATTTATTCTTATTTAAATTATAATTGTTTTATTTCGTGAAAACAGAAGGTATTATGAATAGTTAAAAAATTATAAATATATTAAACATATATATTATATTAGCCTATTATATTTCTTTGAGTTAAGTTAATTTATTTTATTTATAATATGAGTTATATTAAGAATTTGTAAAATATTTAGTAATATTGTGAAATATTATGATTTGACGAGATAAATAGCTTTAATTTAAGTTTAATAAGGAATCAAAGTTAATACTGGTTGCTATTGTAGCTACAAAATTTTATAAACATTAATTATTTTTTAATTTTTCGTGTCAGGCCACTTAACATTTATAAAATATAAATCATAGAGTTAAAAATTAAAAGTTAAAAAATATTAATAAGTTATAACTAGTCAACATCAATTATACAAATAAAATAAAATAAAACATAAATAGTAAAAATTTATTAAATTCCTTCTGTTATCCAAAAACGAGCGACTTCCACCGCTGTTTCATTTGCCTGTATTAGGTCATCTTGCGTGAATTCGTTGGGATTCCTTGTTCATATTAAAAAGGTTTGCCATTGTCTGTTCTTGATCACATTTGCATTTTGTGTCAGAGTCGTTAAGGTAGCCCCACTTAAACATGTTGTCTTTTGATCTGCCTAAACCTACTCTCATTCTGTTGAGGGTTTTCCATGTCTTAATTCTAACTTATAGCCTAGTGGTAGCTGTTCGGTTGGCTCCATTCCCCAGCTTGTGCCTACGATTTGCTTTCTCCAGAGGGTTATTCTTCTTAATGATGGGTCTTTTGTTAGGATCTCTGATGTCTTTAAGAAACTTTTCCTTGACTTAATGCAAAAGATGGACATGTCATATCCAAACATTGGGTGTCTCTTATAATTTGTTTGTTTATATTTTTCTTGGTTCGTTATTACAAGTCTATGTATGTTGAGAATGTATTTTTAAGGCATCCTGTTTTAATTCGGCAACTGTTGTTTAATGCCACATCCACTTTTCCCGTATGGATTGACCGTCCCTACACAGGGCATGCATACTCCCCCATAGAGAAGCATAATGCCAAGGCTGATACCCGTAGTGTATGAGGTTGAGCACCCCAGGTTGATCCAGTCAATTTGCGAATCAAACAGTTTCGGGTGTTTATATTTTTGGCAGTTTTCTTACAATGGGATTTAAATGTTAGTGTCCTATCAAGAGTTACTCTTAGATATGTTGATGTTTTGCAGTGTGTAAGTAATTCTCCTTCCCAGGTAATTTGGAGGTTCCGATTTGTCTCTTTGTTCTTGAGGTGGAAAGCGCATTCAAGAGTCTTGCTAGGGTTTGATGTTATCGTCGTAGTTATTACTCATTGTTGTCAGTGTTTTGATGAGTTTTTTCTATTACTTCAAATTGATTTTCTTGTATGGCAATTGCTGAATCGTCAGCGTATATAAAATGTTGAACACTATTATCTGTAGAAATAGTTTGGTCATTTTTATACATATTGAACAATGTTGGAGCTAGGATACTACCTTTTGGTAATCTATGTTTTGTATTTCTCCACCTACTCTGTTTGTCTGCTAATGTAACGAAGAACCTCGGACTGTTTAATAGTGATTCAATGATCTGAGTATATTTAAAGTCTTTGGTAAGATTGTAAATTTTTATTAAGAGAATTCGATGGTTGACAGTGTCACATGCAGTTGATAGATCAATAAATGCCACCCTTGTAATGTTCTTCCTTTCAAATCCGTTTTCGGTGAATTGGGTAAGGTTAAGAACTTGAACAGTACAAGACTTACCCGGTCTAAATCCAGCTTACTCTTTAATTAATTTATCATCTACTACTGGACATAGTCTGTTTAGAAGTATTCTTTTAAACAGTTTATATGTATGGCATAGGAAGGAGACTGGTCCATAGCTAGATGGACAGTTGGGATCTTTCCCCAGTTTATGTAATGCCACTACTTTGGCTTTCCTCTATATTTTTGGGAGTCTTAGTACAGATCTAACGTTATTGAAAAGTTTCAATAACCACTGCTTGGCTGTAAGGCTCAAATGTTGAATTTGTTCTGTATATATGTTATCCAGTCCAGCCGAATTTTCATTCTTTAATAACTTCATAGCGGTTTCAAGTTCTTCGTACAAGAACGGATCTCTTAACTCGATAATTTCCTCGTTTATTATTCACTTTACTCTTGGCATAGTTGATTTTTATTATTTTTATTATTATTGCATTTGTCATTTATTGGGAGGTGATGAGCAATTTGATTTGAAGTTACGATTGGGATTGTTGGCTTACTTTTAGGGTCGCAGTCCAGATATTTAATGAGATTCCAGGCTTTTTTGCTGTTTCGCTTCATGTCTACACTGGTTAATAGATCGCGCCACTTCGTTCTCTTCTCTTGTGCCTGTGATTTCATTAAAAACTCACCTGCTTCTATTATATTCTCTTCAGACGAGTTTTCCTCATATAGTTCTGTGTATTTATGTAGGGAATCTGCTAGTTCAGGCGTTAGGCTTGGGATATAATATGTACGACAGCCTCTTGGGATATTTTGTCTTGTTATGCATTTGACTTGATCTATGAATTTATCATAGTTTTCATTCGTTGGTTCGATTTCAGTTATCATGCTGCCTAGGTCTTTTGTGAAATTATTCCAGTCAGCTTTTTTAAAGTTATATCTTCTCATGTAAGGGATTTTGTTGGTTTTTATAAATGCCATGATCTTACAGACAATGGGTTGATATTGATTGTATAGGATTGGTTTCCACACTTCCTTAACGCATTGTGATGCTACGATATCATTTGCAAAGATGATGTCTGAATTATAGCCCTTTCTCCACCTGCCACTATAAAAAGATGGCGGGAGCTTTGGGTCATGGATTAATGTCATCCCATTTGACTCTGCCCATAATTTCACTTTGTGACCGTTGTTATCGATTGCATCGTAATCCCAGATAGTATGGTGACTATCGAAGTCTCCTATAATGAAATTAGTTGTTTGAGCTGAAAAATTGAATGGTTCCTTGAATTCTAAGATAGAATTTGGAGGCTTGTATACGAAATTCACTGTGCAGTTACCAAGTTCTATAGTAAGAAGCTCAATATCGTTCTCTTCTATGACTTGGGTTGAGTTTATTTCTGATGACTTTCTCACAAATATTGCACTTTCATATTGCCTATGTGCTCTTAAAGCAACGAGTTTCATTTCTTTAATCTTAGGCATATTCATCTCCTCGCTTCTATGTGTTTCCTGAATACGCAAAACGTCACACTTAGTCTCTTTACATACCTCCGAAAGTAGTTGTTCTTTGATTGAGTTTATGCCTTCAATATTAAAGAAGGCAATTGTCAGAATTGGCCCTGAAAAGGACCTTTATGTATGATTCATAATTTTAAGGAGTATAG